TGATGTATGCCCATATTGATCCTGGCTGACGTCCAGTCAAATTGACTTAAATCTCAAAAATCTTCTTCTCAACACCCAGATATGGAAGAATAAAAAGCTCTGCAAGGATGGAAGCATCTTAAGGTGTTTTTATTACCAAAATAAGTCTCATATTTCTTCCTGGGGAGGAATATTTTTTGAGACTTTACTGTTATTTTCATAGGAAAATTGCATTTTTGAGCATAACATTGTTTATTTCCTACTGGAAATAATTTTGTGAGAACTATCAGTTTAGGATGAGAGTTTTGATGGTATGCATGTATTGACAATGACTTACACTTGATAACTATCCTTTAACCTTTATATTAAGTATTGTTTATCTCAGGTGACAGTCAAGGCCGCTAGTCCTCTTGTTATCTCGCTACTGTAGAGAAAAAAATCTCCAAACAGACATCCAAATTGAGCAAATACATGCCGAAATCATTGAGATCTTGGAGGACAGAATCAAATCCATGGAGAATTTGATACAGAGCAAGTGCAACGAGGAACATGTTAAGGAACTAATTAGAAAAGAGGTAAGCAAACTCATAGCAGATATATAATATAAAGATACACAGCAAGATGTTATCTCAGAACTAATTGAGAGAAAATCTAAGGAATTAAACATCGTTGTATTCGGCGTAAAGGAACAAACTGTTAACGACGGGAGAGCAAGGAAAATTGTAGATGAAACGGAAATACAGAAAATGTTTGAGACATGCTGAGTGAAATATGAGGACAATGTCGCCAAAGTATTTAGACTTGGCAAGTACGATAAATCCAAGAACAAATGTAGGCCTATCTTAGTTTCTTTTTCATCGTCCGAGAAAAAGAAAGTTTTCTTTCAAAATATATCTGCACTTAAGGACAATGAAAATACAGCAGCATCTGGATACGTTACGATCTTACCATAAAGGAACGGGAAGAGGAAGCCGCCCTGAGGGAAGAGGCAAAATCAAGAGAAAGAAATGAGTCGAGGGTATATATACTCCGGGTACTGGGACCGCCGTGGAACAGGAGGATCGTACGGTTTGCAGTGAAAAGGGCTTAATAAAACATACACATAAACTCCGATGCATGTTTACAAACGCTGACACACTTACAAACAAAATAGAAGAACTAAAATCTATCACCAGACAGGAGAAACTGGATATCGTTGGAATAGTCGAGACTTTTCCTAAAAATTCAAGGTACTGGATAAACAAATATGAGTTGTGCATAGAAGGCTTCGAAGTTTTTCCTGGGGAAATAAACCAAGACCATGGATTGAGAGGAATCGATATATACACGGCACAAAATCTAAGAGCAGCGGAAAGAACAATTAAGTTTGACGAGCAGATGTGGATTAGAATTAATCTGGATAATGGGAATGTCTTAACAATCGGATGCTTTTACAGGAATCCTAACAGCATAGATGAAAATGATTTGGATTTATGCACACTATTTACCAATATAGAGGAAATAAAAACATCTCACTTACTGATAATGGGAGTCTCCAACTTGAAAAATATAGACTGGTATCAATGGATATCGTCTAGGGGATCAAATAGTCTGGAATATAAATTTCTAGAGGCGGTGAAAGACTCATTTCTGTTTCAATATATCAATACTCCAACAAGAGTAAGAGCGAATTACGAGCCCAGCATTCTAGGTTTGCTATTTTCAAATGAAAAGGATATGATAAGTAATATTAAAAAACGAAGCACACTGGGGAAAAAGTGATCACGGAACAATATTTTCAGTAAAAACTAACCGTAAGAAGTTTTGGAGATATACAAGCTCAAAAACGAAAACAAGATCCAGAATCCCTGATCTGCTCATCAAGCGTGGAAACGAAGCATTAGTCGCTAAAACTGATAAGGAGAAGGCGAATGATTAGCAAACTTTTTTCTCGAGTGTATTCACGGTCGAACCGCAAGGCTATATCCCAGTTTTGAAAAGGTTTTTTTCCGTAAACAGTCCGTGTGTCGATACCGAAATTTCAGAGCTTCAACAATAGCATTTTAAAATCATTGAACCCCCCTAAATCGCCAAGACCAGATAACATTCATCCGAGAGTACTTAAATAAACTGCTGATATATCGAAAACCCCTTTATGTGATATCTTTAACTCTTAAAGTCTGGAGAATATCCTGAAAGTTGGAAGGAAGGTCAGATTTACTGCAATACATAAAAAGGGGAACAATACATCACCAGCAAATTACAGGCCAATTAGCTTTACGAGTGTACTATGCAAAACTACGGAGAAAATCACCAGGACAAGAATAATGACCCACCTGGAAGATAATCTCCTAAGTAAGCACCAATTTGGACTCGTCAACGGAAGGTCAACTGTCTTACAGATGATAAAAGTCATTGATCATTGGACAGAGGTTATCGATCAGGGCGGATCAATCCAGACTGTTTATCTACACTTTATGAAAACATTCGACAATGTCCCATGTCAGAGCCTCTTGGGCAAATAAAAGACATATGGACTATCACCAGAAATAGTCAAATGGGTTCAAAATTTCTTAATTGGCAGAAAACAGTAAAGTCAGTAAATTGGGAAATGTCAGACTGGAGAGCGGTAACAAGTGGGATCCCACAGGCCCATCCCTTTTTGTAGTTTACATCAATGATCTTCTGGAAACTATTAACGCAAGAACATATTTATTTACAGATGATACGGAAATTTACAGTCTGGAATCCCTATCTGCAAAAAGACAGAAATGAGTTGGAAAATGTGCAAAGAAGAGCAACGAAACAAAAAAACAAAAAAACGTAAGCTATAAAAGCAGGCTATGGATCCTAAAATTACCGACACTGAGGCACGGACGATTGAGAGGAGGTATTATTCAAGTATACAAATAAACACATGGAGTATATGATAGGGTTGTCGCGGAGGATTTCCTGATACAAAACAATAACAAGATAACAAGAGGGCACAGTTTTCCAGTATTAAAAAGGAGGAGCAGATTAAATCTGAGGAAGTATTCTTTCTGCGAACGGGTGGTAAACCAGTGGAACTCACTTCCTAATGCCGTTGTAACGTCACCAACAGTCAAAACTTTCGAATCCCGATTGGATAAACATTGGAGGCTAACTGAATGTGTTTATAATCATGACCTAGATAATAGCACTCTGATCCATATTCGGGATACTAATTCTTTTAAACTCTGATCTGGATATATAGGCTTAATAATACAAATGTTCTCGAACTTGCGCCTGGGATGAACAGATGTAAGTTAATTATGTGTCATTAATGTTGTAGTTTAAACTATTTTTATTTTCAGAAAATACTTCATATTGATAATCTATTAAATGGCTAGAAAGGTTAAGTAGGCTGGTTATCTGCCGTTTAAAAGGAATTTTGCGTAGATATGTGTAAAGTAATGCTTAAACGAATAAGACATTTTGTATATTCTTTTGATACAAAAACTAAAATTACTAGATACACGTAGCTGAACATTTCCTCTAGTAATAAAGTATCCATACACATCGTCAATATGTCGACATGAGGTGACAGATGGCTAAAACGGTCTCTGCTAAACTCCTGTTGTTCTCTGCCCAGGATATTTGTCGGATATTGAAACAGTTGTAAGGATTCGCCATCATAAGAAACAGATTTATATACATTTGGACAATATAAATAAGGACGCTGGGATTCGTAACCAAACCAAAATTGGTGCCTACAATATTGGAGCTTACGTAGAAGATTGTATTATTCGGTCCAAACAAACAGGAAGTATTGACTTGAGGTAAGAAAAAATGACTTCAGGTTTTAATCCAGTTTCGAATTTAAAACATTCTGCTGTTTGTTACAAATACACTGCTTTTGTCTTTATTGTTTCTAGTTGCGTATTATACTTAAATTATATTTCAACAAGACATGTATTTGAAATTGAATCAGTTTAGGTTTTGAATATTTCAGAACAAAAGTATATGTTTAATTAAGTACGTTTTACTAATGTGAAAAATTGCCCTTCAATGTTATAATTCATTAACGATTTAGACACTCTGATGATAGCATGCATGTAGTGTTCAGTTGGCTTAATATACCGTTAGCTATTCTAATACTGTAAAAAATTAACTGACTGTCCTTAATATTAAATCTGAAATCATGAATGTGAGTGTACCATTATTTTAGCCAGTGTACTATAAAAGCATTCTTTACTCTTCAGTATTTAAATGAATAAACCTGAAGTTAATTCATCTTCATATTGAATAGTAGGTAATTAAATTCATTAAATACGTTTATAGGTTACAGAGCGAATTGCATATTTTTCATATGGAAATAACCAGTTAGGACGATTTTAATGTGTGGTTATCAATATGGTAATTATTTCAATACCAATTGCGCCAGTCGTTAAATGTCATATTAAATCTTACCATGTAGGCAAAAATTATGATCAACAATGACCGCTAATTATGATATTTAACTGGTTCGCAATTGAACTGAACCTTTAACTATAAATTGGAATGCGTCATTTACTTTGATCATTTGTTAGTTTACTATTTCAGAATGATTTTTTAATGAAATAAAGTCTTCGTAACGAATATAGTTGTGAGGCCGAATGAACTTATTTAGCCTATCTTTCTACGATTGAGTGGATTAGTCGCCCGTAGCAAGAAAACTGACAAGGACTTCACTGTATATTTGTTTGATTGATAAAGTAGTTAAGGATTCGCCCATTAGCCAATTTGTCTCTCACAAGTCTGTATAGGACATATTCTAAAGGTTTGTCACTGTAGCAGATTCATGTAGTGGTTTGCAGTCATCGCTCATAGGAAATTATTATTTAAATGTCACAAAGACAAAAGTCTCTTTCGTTCTCATTGTGACAATGAATGTCCAGGTCGTGCAAAATAATCACATTCCTTTTCTTCTTCTTGATTTTACTACAACGACAAATCAAAGAAACCGATATTACTAACTGGCATTAAATCCGCTCTCTCTTCATTACTTTCATTCTTTAATTAATCTATATTTAATTGCAGTGATGCCTTTTTCGGTGAAGCTCATGGTTGTTGCCATCATCTGTACATTTTACCTGTTCAATGCCGTGGCTAGTCCAGACCACTTGTGTTCATCTGATGAAACTGAACGAATGGGTGTTTGCGGAACACATCTTGCAGATGATCTATCTCTAGTCTGTCGTGCAGTATACAATAAGCGCGGAACTTCTGAAGTTCGAGGTAATCCAAACAGAAAAAATATCTTTGCTCAGGCAAAATAGTTTTCACTTTATGCCATCTTGCCATACATCATAAATGTCCATGTATATGAGTGAGTTTTTAAAAATAACTCAGTTGAGTCTCAGTATGTTCACATAATAGTTTAAAGTGGTCGTTTTTATATAATTTTTTCTTATGGCTCCCAACCCATCCCAGCCTCGTTAGACACACCTGTTTTTACACAAAACTATCATCCTGTACATCCTATACATTTATTTCCTTTTACAGATGTTACGTGGTCCCAGTACCCGAAAATAGTGATGAAGAGAGACACGAATATCCCTACAGTGGACTGGGCAAAGACTGCGAATATGTTAGATAAAGTAAAAAGAAAAAACATGGAAAAACTTGGCAAGGTAGCACTTGAAAAACGAAACGCTTTCGCCTATATATCTACAATAAGGCAAGGAGGATTGGTGTGCGAGTGTTGTGTTCACAATTGTGGTCTTGATGAAATGAAAATGTACTGTGGAAATGTGGAAGACGACCAGTGACAAGATCAAACTCGTAATGCGTTAGATTTGCAGTAACTGTAAGTCAGATAATTTTGGGCACATTCAAAGGATGTTATCATTTTTTCGCCAAATGTGTGTCTGATGTTCAAAACATGTGATACTTTATATGAATTATTTCTGTTCCCTCTTAATATCACTTTGTCCTGTTTTGTCGGGAGATTGACGGTTAAATTGTGTCATGACGATGTTGTAATATTATGGGAAGCGCAAACCAGCTGAACATTTGCTGCAGCCCACTCTACGCATATTGTTTTCTCAACGGGATTATACCAACTAAACCTTAACATAATATTGATGTGAGAACAGAAGTTAGATCCATGCACATGAGGTCGTTTGAAGCATATCAGATCATGAAGACATTCAGCTACCGGTCACAATTTGGATACAGTCCTTTCGTTCCTTTTAATATATGTATGTTAGATGCGATCTGGAGAATGTACATGTATCTGGCTTTTGAAGTCACAAAAATGATCAAGAATATCGACATATTATATTGTCTTTAAAAAATATTGAAACTGTGATTAAATATAGATGTCATATTGTACTGTCACTGTCATTTCTCCAATACCTAGTGTTCTTTCATGATATTTTGATTCATCTCCATGTTGTCTTCAAATTACTTAATGGTGAATAAATTATCACTTTCTCATCTATAGAAATGAACAACACAAATTTCGTTATACATCCATTTGTTTTCAGCAGAATAACAACTGCTATACTTCCTTATAAATCTAGACATATCGAAATAAGTATGTGCTAATAAGACAAAAGCATAAAGATTAATTAGAAAAATGGCCAGGAACGGAAGTTGCAAAAATAGCATTTTGAAAAACAGAAATTATTTTCAAAACATTCTGTCAAATGATCTGTTTGATACAATAGCATTCATTTGAAGAAAAAAAATGTAGTACGTTTTTTTGCGGAAGTATAGATCTATGAGAAAAAGTTTAAACGTAAAGTTTAAAAAAGATAGTTCTTAAAATGAATTTACAAAATGAGAGCAAAGCTAAACCACACAAGTACACCCATGCAAAGATTCAACAACGTGGCACATATTTTTACGTTACTGGAGAGAAATGAAAAAGAAAACATTACCAGCAAAAGAGGGATTGTAAACGTTTATAGTCTTGCTTGTTTTAGATCTTAAAGAAAACTTCCCAAAAGTTTGAACAAATTATCGTTGAGAGACGGAAGAACGGGCGGACGGACAGACGGGGGAAATTGTATTGCATAATTAGTCCACCAAAATTCGAGGGGCGTACGAAAAGATTATTGAATTTTTTTTAGTGATTATCTATTCCTGTAAAAGCACTTGTCGACTGTCTAACGATTCCGATTGGCCTTGCTTGTACATCATATGTCGAGTGAATAGGCCGGATCCAATTATGACGTCAATGATAAAAAAATCCACGGTTTCTTTGGTAACGTGATTATTCTGTCCGCATTCTGTTATTTATGTATGGATGTAATGAATCAGCATTGTTGATTCAGTCAGGTATGTAATGAAGAAGGCTGGAAATGTTATTGGCCAGCTTCTATAACAATATCGTGTTTCTGAGATATAGCAATATGATAATAAACTTTTATGTCTTCTTTATGTGAAAAACTCCCCAGTAATTTAGTGTTTGCTTTCCTTTGCTTTACTTTCCGAAAACAGTTGAAAAACACTTGATATTGAAAGTTGTGCACTAACGTTTATCCAATTGCAATTCCATACCGGGTATCCAACTGATTGTCCAATTAGATTTTGACATATGTATGTGATCACAGATGTAGCTGCAAATTGGTATCTTTTTGACGGATTTTCAACTATATAAGCAGAAAGCGATATCTTTACCACAAAGTACCCATCGCAAAGATTTTAAGCTTCCAGCGTGCTACAGAACTTTGATTTCTGACTGAAATGGTCCGATTTATGAGGTATATTGATTTACCATTAGTGGTGAATTCTCAAATTGCTATCGTAATATTTTTGTCGTCCTTATGAATATCAGTTTTAAGCTCCCATGATATCATTTATATGAATGACTGGTGACTTCCGGAAACTATTTTGTTTCTTATCAATAGTTTCCACAACGCTCAGATGTTCGTCGATAGAATTCATATGTATATTATACCAGAACTCGATTAATTTTATTTTCACCTCAAATCTTTTCTTTTCATTTATTTAAAAGTATAAAGCTTGTGATAGAAATTCAAACCATAACTCACAATTAAATGGAATTCAGTCAATAATGTACTAGTTTTGATTTATTCTGGTGAAAGTTTTTAGTCTTCTTTGCCTTTATAGACAAATATTTTGAATTTTCAGAGTAAGTAATGCTCAAGGACCAAAAGTGATTTCCATCGGAAGTTTCCAGTGTTGTTCCTCAAATTTGAAGGGTAACTGACAACAATATCCATTAAGAAATTCAAGATCTTAGAAATCAATTATTGTATGAATCTTAACCGGGATGTCAATATTAGATAGTGTTTAATCAATTATAACAGGCACCAATCTACATTCAGGAGTAGCTTTATCGCATTTCTCAAAGGATTATACAGGTTAACGAAAGGTTAAGGAAAATATTATACTCGAGCTGAGAGCTTCATTTTGCAAGTTAATGTTTTGTATTTTCATATATACGATACGCAAAGTGTTTCTCATTTTTGAAATACACATATTGATAAATTGTTAACCGGGACATTCCTCACAATAACCGTACCACATGCATGGTACTGACCCGTACACTTAACAATCCAAAACATTTATTTCCGGACATCACCATCATCTATCTGATTATGTCATACACATGCCATTTTGGTAACTATTTTATAACATATATAGACTATGATAAGTAAAAAAATTATCATAGTGTGCCTGTTGAAGCTGATTATATGAAAATAATCACGTCTACAGCATTTCATGCATTTGTCATTCTCTCATAATGTGTGCTTTTAAAACTTTTATTCGATGTTTTATCTTTCTTTCAGTGACCATCCATGTTAGGTACTGATATATAATTGCTAAATCCCCTTCTCCAAGCAAAGCTTGTACATTAGTCCTTACATAAGCTTAATATTACAAGTTTTTATTTTTTTTTCTCGTAGCCAAGTATTTTATAAATCAGCCAGAAAGATGCTCCTGATGTAACATGCAGGACCTTTTGCCTAACAAAATATACAATAAAGTTTCTCGTCGTACCATTGAAACAGTTATATATATAAATAAATTCATCAATCAACAGAGGAATAAATCCTCAAAATATTCAAATTTATAAACCTAACGTAAAACTGCATGGGAAAAGAACATGTGTAACATAATAAACATGGACGTGTTAAACACAAATCCAGCATTTTTACGACTGATATGGTTCTTTGATGTCAAGTGGTTTCTTATCATTCAGTGGTCATGGGTCAGTATTTCGTCCTAAACAAACTCAACAAGAAAATACAGACATTCTAAAAGAATCTTAATTCAATCTGAAAACCGATGATGGTGAAATATGATCAAGAGATAAATTTACAAGAGAATTTGGACATGTTCCGGAAGGATAAGAGTCTTCTACATCATAGACGACACACACCATTTTCACATCAAGGAGATGATGTCACATGCTTATAACAAAAGAAACCACTCGGCATATTAATATGTTACAGGCATACAACAGAAGAAAGCACCAGTAATATGAATGAACGTCGACATCATATCGCATGATCTTAAGAGTCCTTGTAACCAAAAAATATCATGTAAGAGGTAAATCAACGATGTCTTATTAAATTAACGCGAATGTTGATGTAGCAATTGTTGTATATACATTCAAGCGAATTAAACCTTAGTCTCCAAAAGGCTATGCACAATAGTTCGAGATGGGTAGAGGAAGCAACGGTAATGACACAACCATGAATTTGTAGGTGGATTTTGCTAGAAACTTGTACAAAGACGAAAAACTAGGAAACATTTTAGAAAGGAAGACACGTGTAGATATGTATTGTTGTCAGTTCCCATGACACAAATTTCGCAGATAATTAAATTCATTCAAAACAATTCTTATTTTTGTGTTACATGGTTCGACAAGTAACATTCCTGCCTTCCATGCAATTCTTCGGCAAAATCATAGAGTCCTGGAAACGGGCATGTCATCGCCTTCGATAACACTATTGTCAGAAAACCGGCGTTTTCACGTATATCCAGGCATGTTTGCCTTCCATTGAAACACATGTTATGGATTGCATGTTCACAGAGTTTGTACGAAATAGAGAAGCCCTCGGTACTGTCAAATAATGCTTCTGTATGTTCAGTATAAGCTTTAGTCCAGCTATAAGGTGGAGATCAGTTTGAGTCAGGTTGCTTCACACACAAGTGGAATATCTCAATCTTATCTCGTTCCTTGATAAACAAGTTCGTAGCTGCAACGGAATAGATATATACCTTACTTAATTTTATACGTACAAAGTGGCTACATGCACTTTGTAAATCCAGGTTAATTGAATAAATTTGTGTTGGGAGGTACTTTTCACTATGTGTCCTTTGTACAGTCTTAGAGGCTCATTACATATGGACCTGGACGTAACAATTTCCTAGTCATTATCTTTGCCTTTGTGCCCGATAATTTCATTTTCATAACTCAAGTTCATATTCTGAGAACGTTTTATTTATTTAATTATCACACGCTTTCCTTTACAGAACACTTCAATTGGTGTCTTATGTTGTACTTACAGGTTGACCTTAACTTTTATACGTTAGTTCCATACAACACAGACGAAAAAATGAAGGTGTCGCATTTGGAGTTCCCAATAAAAAACAAAACTTCGTGAAATACATCAATGGTTAAACGCCATTGAATTCTTACAGACAACCCTGTATCGAGCCCCATTTTTATCAGCTTTACAAATGCTGCAAATCCTGATCAGCTTTATAATTCTCTGAAAAAAGAGACTTAAAGGTGATGTTTAAAAAATTATAATATTGCTTTGCTTTTAATGGTCCAAATAAATGT